TCCAGACTGCCCCGATCTGCCGACAAACAGCTGATCGGCAGAGCGGGGCAGCCATTTAAATTTAAATGAAGCCGCGATTATTTTAATCGCGGCTTCATTTCCCTCTGCCGATCTGTCTAATCTACATGCCTCCGTCGACGGAGGCATGTAGTCTAGACACACCCTAAGAGCACAAGTACATTAAAACCTGTACTGATCCTTTAACAATATGCTCAGTCTAAATGTTGCAATAAGACATAACTGTTTAAATAAATTAGTAGACTTGTAATTTCTTTAGCCTTTCATTAATAGCTTTGAACTATTGAAAGGAATTCTGTCAAGCTACATGCCTCCGTCGACGGAGGCATGTAGTCTAGACACACCCTAAGAGCACAAGTACATTAAAACCTGTACTGATCCTTTAACAATATGCTCAGTCTAAATGTTGCAATAAGACATAACTGTTTAAATAAATTAGTAGACTTGTAATTTCTTTAGCCTTTCATTAATAGCTTTGAACTATTGAAAGGAATTCTGTCAAGTTGAAACTCATATTCCTTTAAAAGCTTTTCCTGTGATCCCAACACTATCTTAAACCACAGCAGGGAAACCAGTTGTACAAATCTAACTGCCTTGTAGGGTTGCCAGATGGTTTCAACAAAAATACCGGACACACTTGACATTACATCACAATCTACATTACATCTTATTTAGAAAATACTGGACAGTTCTATTTTCTCAATTTTTTCCTGAACAGAAAGCTCAAATACTGGATTGTACGGTTCAAAACCAGACACTTGACAACCCTCCTGCCTTGTCAAAGTTCATGCTGTTAGTTTGTTTTTGCCACTGTATAGATTATCCAGTTTATTCTCATTTGCTATATCTACACTGCAAAGTTAATTCGGAATAATGGCTGTTATTCAGGAGGCATCTGCGATGATGTCAGCATGCTGGGAGGCGGCACTGAGGACTTGCAGGGCTGTTTGGCTGCCGGTTCCGAGTCTGTGACCATCAGAAATGGGCATGGGGTTATTACTTTGCTGGCACTTTTTCAACCCTGGATAGCCCGGCATAATAATATTGTTAGTTCGAACTAACGTCTGTTGGCACTTTTTAAACCCTGGATAGCCCGGCATAATAATATGGGGTGGCCGCTCGCTGAGGGTGAGGGCAGCTGATAAGGCTTCTTCTTAAGATTTCTTTTTGTGTGTCTTTCTTTCTGTTCTTTCTTTTTCTTTCAACAGGAAAAATGAAGAGAGGGAGGGCGAGATTAACTGTGGCAGGGGCATGGGGAGAGCGGGGCCACCCCCACTGAGCCGGTCCCTCAGGAAAGAGGATAAAGAAAAATTGTATTTTTTTAATAGAACAAGCAACAGGCAACAAGTAACTCAGGGTATGTCTACACTTGCATCTTCTTTTGATAGAGGGATGCAAATGAAGACAGACATTCAAAATTGAAAATGAAACCAGGATTTAAATATCCCATGCTTCATTTGCATAATCGCATTATTCTGGCAGAACAACAGTAGCATCCACACAGCAATTGCATTATTTCACGAAACCCTTCTCTCGGAATAGCCCTTATTCCTCATGCAGTGAGGTTTACCAGTTATTTTGAGAGAAGGGTTTTTTCTCAAAATAACCATGTCTTAACAGCATCTGTTATTTCGAAATAGCGCTATTTTGAAATAGCGCCATAACGCAATTATGCAAATGAAGCATGGGATATTTAAATCCTGGCTTCATTTGCAATTTCGAATGTCTTCATTTGCATCCCTCTCTCGAAAGAGGGTGCAAGTGTAGACATACCCTGACTGAGAAAAACACTAGAATTGATAAAGGAGGCAGGAAAAACTGTAAGGCCGTGTGAGGAAAATAGACGCCTGAGATGAGAGAGAAACTCCGTCCATGGCTGAGAGCAGAAAGCGAGGAACTGAAGGGGGGAGGGGTCAGGCCATGTGTGTGAGGTACCAAACTGCCCATAGCATGAGACACCTTCTGCGAATGTGTGGCCCGATTGACAACTGCAAAGAAAAAGCTCCGAACTGTAGCTCCGGGGATGACTCACCACCAACAGTGGAGCACCCATGGAGACATCACCTGCAGAAGTACTTCCAGTTTCTGTATCTCTGTACAACTCTTAAGAGGTTTTTGAAGAGTGCCATTCACTCTACAATACCTTTCCATGCAGGAGAACTAAGGGTACGTCTAGACTACATGCCTCCGTCGACGGAGGCATGTAGATTAGACAGATCGGCAGAGGGAAATGAAGCCGCGATTAAAATAATCGTGTTCTTTGGCCCTGTTTACGTGATCAGTACATTAGGGTAAACAGAATTGTTTATGTGTTCTTGCCCTTTACCCTTATCTCATACTTGTTCTTGCTATACTGGCAACAATGCTTATCTTAAGTGGCGTATGTTCCCAAAGACTTACTTCTGGTTCATCAAATATAGGGAAAAGGGATAGGGGGAAGGAATGCAGGCCTCACCACCCCTAAACTAACACGTACAAAGCTCTTCCAGAATTGACCACTACAAGTGTCATGTTCACCAATCCTGATCAAGGCAGGCAAACTTCCTCTGTTGGCCAAGCAAGGTCAAGCTCATCTATATGCTGGTTGTGCAGAGGATTCTTGGAAGCTCTGAGCTTAAGCTGTGTCTTGGAGATGAGTTCTTCCAGGTCTTCCGTCTTTCTTTCTGTTCTTTCTTTTTCTTTCAACAGGAAAAATGAAGAGAGGGAGGGCGAGATTAACTGTGGCAGGGGCATGGGGAGAGCGGGGCCACCCCCACTGAGCCGGTCCCTCAGGAAAGAGGATAAAGAAAAATTGTATTTTTTTAATAGAACAAGCAACAGGCAACAAGTAACTCAGGGTATGTCTACACTTGCATCTTCTTTTGATAGAGGGATGCAAATGAAGACAGACATTCAAAATTGAAAATGAAAC